CAAAGTGGAAGTAAATGATGAAGACCTCATTTATGGTGGTGGGAATGGAAAGCAAACAATGGCAGGGAGAGAGATTTTGGAGAAGGAATCAGTCAGGTTATTGAAAAGGGACAAGGGAAACGAAGTACTCAAGAACTACAAGGGGACTGGGAATGTGATGGTATCACTGGAAGAAACAGGGAAGTTATAAGGGTTTCGAGGGAAGAGATAAATTCAGTTAGTTTAAAAATGACGATTCCATTATCTGGGTTTTTTAGAGCATCTACTGTGTACTCAGGCTTGTTTATACTTCTCTGCCTCTGCCTCTAGCATCTGTCAGAAATTGTCCCCAATGGTGCCACCGCAGAGTTCCCACAACTCAGTGAGACCATCATCTTGATTTCATACTATCCAGCAAGGCATTATTTTTCAGTCTGTCAAGGTACTCCACCATTACTGCATGGCCACAAAACTACAATTCTCCTACAATCTAAAATCTAAACTAGGATTTAGGATCCATACTAATGAAATGTGTACATTACATAAGCTTGTCTCCATCCTGCCCTTGTACCCACACTTGGAAACTCTGGATAGTCCAACAGGTATGGTATCATAGAAAATCATACTCCTTGAAGCTTTTAATCCAGGCTAGAAAATAAAGTTAATACAACAGTGCCATCTAGTGAATGACAAATGCCTCAAAAGGGCATGGATCCATCGCACATTTAAGATTCAGACATTTTACCCAAATAGACCCAGTGCAGAATAGGAATGGTATGAAATGAAGTTGCACTGTGTCATCGTCAACCCTCAGAAAAGTCCCTCCATGTGATCTGATATTGCCAAATTTAGGGGGAAATCTTAATGTAGGCCGTGTAAACGGAATAAAGAAATTAGTAGAAATCCATGGTTTCCTCTAGAGTCAAATGTTAAATAACAAGAATCTAACACTAATTAGTGATAAGATCTGCAACAGATTCCCATCTCCTGATGCTGAGCTCAACACCCTCTCTGGGACCCAAAGCTGATGGAAGCTCAGATACAGCCTCAGATACACCAGCAGCATATCCAGCTCTGTACTTAGTGTCAGGTGACCTAAGGCAAATGAAACCTCTCTGACCTTGTTTCTTCATCTGCAAAGCGACAATGATGATATAATAATACCTACTGATGAGGGGTATTGTGAGGAACTTTAGCAAAAGCCTGTAACACAATGGTTTAGCACAATCAAAGGGAGTTCCTTCTTCTAGTCTGCCCCTTCTCCTTATCTGCTCATTTATCAAATGAGGATGAGACATCTAAGTATTCGTTCCTTTAAAAAGCCAGCATGCAAGTTTTTACTCAATAAATATTGAGGCCCTACAGTGTGCCAAGCACCATTCTAGGCTCAGAGGACAGGCAAGGTTCCTCCCTGGTGGAATTAACCTATAATAAGAAAGGATCCTGGAAGAAAATACTACAGAATCACAGCATACTGAGAGATTATGGTCTGCTTTACATGATGGGGAAGGAAAGCCTCTCAGAATAGATTTTGACTGAGTTGACCAGGGAAAGAGGGGAAGACAGACAGAAGCTGAAATGAAAGAATATACCTTGTGCTCTCCCGGAATACAGGAGGGAGCAGTCACCAGGCCACAGTCTAATCGAGTCACCCGGCAAAGAAGGGGAGCTGAAGAAAGAGGTGTTCATACCCCAAGACAAGTAGCCTCTGCCCTTGATGGAGCCCTCCACACCATTTTCCCCCAGTGCCTCTCTGTCACCATTCCAGGGATGGGGTTCCATCTCAGGACTGCCTCTGAGTGAGCCATGCTGCCAGATGAAAGAAATAAAAATGAGCCGAAATCAGGACGCCCCTCCAGCTTTCTTCCTCCTCCTCCCCCATTTCCCTCCGGGACCCTGAAGGTCTCTCCTCAGGTGGCTCAATGTTTCATACATGGCAGCAACATTCTCCGTATTCTGGTTTATCTAACTTAGGGTATATTCCCATCCAAGAGGGCTGGTCTCCACTGCTCTTTGGCTTCGCACGTCACACAGCCAAATCGCAGAGGCCTGCAGAGAAGATCTGCCTGCCGGTAGATCTAAGTCAGTGCTTTCCAAAACTTTTAATTGTTCTCTAAAAAAAACAATTTAAGCTCTATAATTCCACACTTTGGCTGGAAGATACAAATTTAAACAGGTTTCTTTTGGAAGGGTTTCTAAGTCCTCAATATCTTAATAAGAACGGTGAGTTTCCAATACAGTATATGCTATATTTCACAAAATCATTTGGCAGCAAAACCCTTTCTGTGCAGATTTTCTCTCGGAAATACACTTTAAAAAATGCACTTTAAAAATTTCATGTCTGCCTGATGCCGACTCTTGCACCAGACTTTGCTAGAATCGTCATGAGGCTTCGTGAAGCTTTTCCTAACGCATCACAGCTCCCCTTCGCTCACTTCCTATCCGATTGACCAACATGCCCCGTCTCCTCACACAACTCTCTGTCACTATTTCTATCACAGCCTCTCTAACACTTTGGTGCCCTTAACTGATTTTATGTTTGTCTCTTTTTACTTTATTGTAGGCCCTGTTAGATCAGGAAACTTGCTTTACGTACAAGCTTCCCGGGAAACTCATGGAAACCCCTGGTGCTTGCACAATGCATGGCACACAGTAGATGTTCCACGTGGGCAGGGAGGGAGAAGGATGAGGCGGCACCGACCCTGATTAGAAACATCATAGTCCCAGTTCCACAATTCGCCTTTTGATCAATCACAACCTCTCTGAGCATCATTTCCTTCTACAGCCAAACAAGGCTGAAAACGTTTGCCCTGGCTTCCTCCTCGGACTGATAGAGAACTCTAATGAGATCAGTGCAAACTCAACTTAAAACTGGAAAGTACTAGGCCAATGGAAGATAGCATCGTCCTTAGTATCCAGCCAACATATCCCCTTCATGCCTTCTCCAAAGAGGCAAGAGTACCATGCCCGCAGTGAGATGGCCTATTCCACCGTGCATATATTTTTAGCTAGAAAGATCCTCCCAGACACCAAAATAAAGCCTTTTCCTAAATCCTAACGCTTGGAATTTCTATAATGTAAGATAGATATTTCTATCCACACTAAATATAATTTAAAATACTTTAAAAGTGCACATTATTGGTTCCCTTCCTGAAATAAATTTGAAAGAGGAAGAATTCTGGGTCTTGAAAATGAGATTAAAAGAACTCTATATAGTTTTATCTTTTTGACAAAAGTGATTAAATTTTATTAATTAAAACAGGAGACCTATGATACATTCGGAATAAAACAATAGCAAAAGATAATGGCAGCAGCTAAATGTGCATAATACACAAATATATATTATTCTGATAATTGTGATTAAATGTTCCTCTCAAGATAACTGCTGTCTTCAATTTCCAACAATAAAATTAATTTTTCATTAAACACAGATCTATGCAACTGCTATTGCCATCCAATGGAGAAAGTGACCATCTTTTCCTCCACATTATATCTACCCGATAATCAGTCCCTGTTAACCTGTCACTCTCCTCCCATGAAAAGTCCAGTCCCTTAATGTCCTGCTTCCTCTGTTCAAGGTCAGTTGGTAGAGGATTCTGTCCTATAACACGCACTGGCCTAACCACAGAAGGGCTCCCTGGATGTAATAAGCATGAGTCACGTCCTAGTTCTACATTATTCTTTGCTGTTCCCTGATGCTAATTCACACACTGTTCAATTTGATAATTCAGGGTCCTTCTTTTTCCAGGAAACATGGACGTGAATGAAGTCAGCCCCTTCATCTCACTGACTCCTTCCCAGAGACCATCATCAAAGGTCCGTAATGAAGGCATAAATTCAACAGGCTTCAATCTTCAGGTTGGAAGGCATAAAAAGTAATGTAGCCTTTTCAACTACACCCAAACAATTGAGTATTTTACCCTGAAGATAATGGGCCATTTCCACAAATGTCCTTCATCCTCTCATATAAACATCATAAGTTTTAACATGTTGTGATTTGTAATAATTCTGCAGTATGTACTATCTCAGAGAACTAGACGTATTTATTCCTATATGCATTCTCTGATGTGTGGTCTGTCTTATGTATTGCTCACAGTGAGGCCTCGATAAAGCCTCTGCTCATATGTTTGCAGGGTTTCTCTTCAATGGACTCTTTCCTGTTGCCTAATACTTGAAGTCAAGGAAATGTTTTGCCACATCCCTTGCATTTGTAAGGTACAACTTCAGTATGTCCCATCTTGTGATCTTTTGGTAAGATCCTTGCCACAAAGGTTACATTTATGAGGTTTCTCTCCAGGATAAATATTCTGATACCTAGTGACAAGTGACCAATAATAAGAAACTTAGCCATATTGATTGCATTCATAAGTATGAAGGATTTTGTGAACCCTCAGTTTAAGGCACAACCCAAAAGCTTTACCACATTCAGTGCTTCTGTAGTGTCCTGTCCACTATGGAAAATCTGATGATTGGTGAGATGTGAGCCCTGGGTAAAGGTATTTCCCATTCATGGCATTTATGAGGTAACAATCTCCAGAATCAATTCCGTGGTGGATGAATTCCTTGATTTCCCTCCAGTATGACTTTCTCAGTGCAGCTAAGATGTGGAAACCTGTCAACACCGTTGCTTAAAGTCCCTCACCAATACAGATTCCCTGACAGTAAGTTAGCCTTGAAAGTACACTGAAGCACTTGTCACGCTCGTTATATTTGTAAGGTTTCTTTCCAGTATGAATTCTTTGGTAGAGCTTAATGTAGGAATTTTTACTAAAGACCTTGATACATTCATGAAAATTCCACTATTTCTACCTAGTATGGATTATCTGATGGTAAGTGAGGTTTTGCCATACTCATGACATGTGCATGGTTTCTCCTCTGTGTGAATCTCCCAGGACTTTAAAGTGTCAATTTTGAATGAAGATCTTCCCACATACATCACACGAAATACAGGTTTCCACTCTGTATTTATTACCTAATGTGTGGTGAGGATACAGATGTGAGTAAAGTCTTTTCAACACTCATTATTTTTCAAAGGTTTCTCTCTGGTATGAATTTTCTGATGAAGCAAAACAATGTTTTCGACTAAACACCTTGCCACACTCATTACCATTATAAGGTTTCTCTCCAGTATGAATGGTCTGATGACCTAAAAGATGTGAATTTTGACTAAAGACTTTCTCACATACATCACATTGATATGGCCTTGCTCCTGTGTGGGTTCTCTGATGTCTCATGAGGAATGAGGCATAACAAAAGGTTTTCCCACACTCGTTACATTTATAAGGTCTCTCTCCAGTATGAATTGTCTGATGAACTGAAAGATATGAACTTTGACCAAAGACTTTCCCACATACATCACATTTATATGGTTTTGTCCCTGTATGGATTATCTGATGTTTTTTGAGGAGTGAGACATAATAAAAGGCTTTTCCACACTCATTACATTTGTAAGGTTTCTCTCCGGTATGAATTCTGTTATGAACTCTAAGGTCTTTCTTTCTACTAAAGACCTTCCCACACACATTACATTTGTAAGGTTCCTCTCCAGTATGAATTCTCTGATGAATTACACGGTATGAATTCTTGCTAAAGATTCTTCCAATACGTCACACTTATGTAATTTCTCTCCTGTATGGAGAATCTGAGGTCTATTGAGGTACGATACGTGCAGAAAGATTTTGCCACACTCATTACATTTTTAAGTTCTTTCCCTCTGTGCTTTCTGATCTCGTGTCACTATTAAAGACTGCATATAATTACTCCCATGTATATTACAAATGTTCACTTGGACACAAGGGGAAATTCCCTGAAGTGGTGAAAATGAGGCACTACCCTTCACACTCTTGTCAGCTTGATTAATTTCATCAATTTTCTCTTCACTTTTAAATATATGCAGTTCATCCAGAAAGCTTAATGGAAACCTATTTTCAACAGGCTTGATTCCTGCAACACTTCTTCCATTTCGATTTCTCTCATCAGCGAGATTATCATTTTGGTTTACTGGCATTCCTTTGCAATTTCCTTCCTCATCACTCTGCTGAGAATCAAATTCTCGTATATTTTCCCGGATGACTCTGAGGTAAAAATGTTTCATTTCATTCCAGTTATGTCTTTGGAACATCAGTGTTTGGAATACTTCTCCCCTATCAGTGTTTGCTTTTAGTTGCAATTTCTTAATCACATGTATATGAGAGATATCAAGGGAGAGCAGGTTCCTGTAGGTCTCCGACATCACGTCCCTGTACAAGGCCCTCTGAGCAGGGTCCAGGCATTCCCACTCCTCCTGAGTGAATTCTATGGCCAAATCCTCAAATGTCAGTTGTCCCTGAGAAAGAGCCATTTCTGACTCCTTTTCTTTTCCCTTCCTCCTCTTCAGGGCTTCTTCCTCAGACAATAGGAGTCTTTAGAGGTCATCTGTAACGGCAACGTCTGGATTTACGTAGGGTGGGGGGCCGGCTGCTGGGATTTAAGGTTCGTAGAGATGCCCACACCGGAAGGTGGAGAAAGGTGGACCGCACAGCACAGACTTAGGAGAAACTTACGCTTCCCAGTGTGACCTCTCTATAGTTTTTTTAAACAAAAACTAAGTTGGGAGCCACAAAGAGAAATGCCACTTTCTTCAGAATTTTATTTAAGGAAATATTCAGATTAAACTAGCCTTTATTGAATGCCTACTGAATAGAAAATACACCTAACATTCTAAAGCAAACTATGAGCATATTCATACTATCATATTAGAAAACCAGACACCAGATCTAAGCCTGAATTCAACTTAAAAAATAAAATTAAAAAACTAATACAGGAGGGACTTTTGTATGGGAACAGGAATAGGGTATCCACTTTGAAAAGCCACTCTAGAATTGAGGTTGTGACTTGTTATCTGATAATGTAAATGCAAGTCATTTTTGTTTTGTAATTATTTTTATTGTTAATAAATTCTACCCAGTTTGGATGAGGCCATCAACACGTTAATGTCAATTCAGGTTTTGAAAGAGAAAACGAGACAGCAGTCACAATCAAGATGCCCGGATTTCTCCCAATTACTGCCCCCAATTATTTTCACACCTATTGCTGACATGTTTAATCTCCTTCTCCTGGCCTAACCATCAGTCAGCTCGAATGGGGGAAGAATGCTAGCTAATGCATGACTCAACAGAGTGTAGGTCCAATTTAAGTAATTAGAAGCCTATTTCATTTCTTCTCTCCCACTCGTAAGTGCACTTGGAAGGAATGTGCATGCTGAGCTTCAGGCCTTTAACTTGCGGGGGGATGATGTATTGACCTTCTTTAAGCCCCTTTCCTTACCAGTAAACCCTTCTCTGTCTCCTAGGACACTGAAGATAATTTAAAGCTATTGGATGATAATCAATAAGCAAGGGTGGTCTCTATTGCCTGACTCAAAGGTCTTTGATCTAGTAAATCATCAATTACCGCTGCCTATATTAACCTTCCAGTTAACTGGGTGACCTGGACTGGTCCTCTTATTCTTCAGGTAGATGAGGACACGAGCCACACAGCAGTTTTCTGCTGCTGAAGTGAGTCTGCAGTTCACTTGGGCTTGGGGCTTGTCTCCAGTTTCTCTGCAAAGGACTTCCCTCCTCTCCTCAAGTGGTGAGAAATCTCTTTCCATTTGGCAAAGGCCTGAGGCATAGTTTTGTTGCTTGACTTGGGGACGTTCATATGCATCCCCTTCACTGGTTGCAGGCCTGTGAGCGCCAGACTATGAGGCTCTGGAGACTCAAATACAGGGAACGGGAATCTCTGACCAGAGGACCTTCATCTGTAACAAGTATCTTTGAATTGCACTTGGAGCAATACTGGGACAGTGATGAGCACAGGGGACTCTGTTCCAGGAAGCTGCATTTTAACAAACTGGGCAATTCTTTTGCACAATGAAGTTTGAGAACCTCTAATCTCAAAGGGATACAACAAATAAACAACTGACTTGCACAATTAAGTAAGAATGGAAGAGAGGCTAAATAAAGCTACTAGCAATTTGCTGTAAAACAGGAGAAAACAGAAAGAGATCAGAAGTTCATTGAATGCCCTTTAAACTGCCCATGAGGTGACTAGAAGGTGATGGTTGAGAATGGGAGGGATGATGTTCAGACAAAAGGAACAGCCTGGGCAAAAGCTCATGGAAATAAGAGTGCAGAGTTTATTTGGGAATTTGGAAATAATCCAATGAATTAGGGATTTGAGGTGTACAAGGTGGCGGGAATTGAAACTGACAAGGAAGTAGGAGTCAATCACAAAGCACCTGAATACAGTCCTTCAGAGAGTGAGGGCAGGGATCTGGTCCAATGATTACGAGCAAATTTAAATAATCAGAAATCACAGAGGGATGGAAAGAATAAATGGGATGGGGGCCAAAATTATTCAACATTCAAGATACCTTTACCCACTGCCTATTTCATACTTTATTCAGTCCCATATTAATTGAATGCCTGGCACAAGAGTAGGCTCCAAAGAAATCATGCTCAACAACACAAACATGGTCTCCCTTCCATCGTAGGGCTTACAGTTTAGCATTTACTATGTGGCAGGCACAAAAACCAAAATGGCACCTCAAGGAATTTACGGTGTAAAAGAGGATTGTCTAACACACACACACACACACACACACACACTTACACACATCACAGTAAACCACAAGAAAGGCAGGAATGAAACGTTAGAGGACTAAGTGAAGAAGGACTACTTGAGAGGTTCCTTAAAGCATAAGCAAGATTTTTGGCCAAGGGAAGATGGAGGAATAGAGCATTTTAGTCAGAAGGAAAGGAAGCAATTAAAGGGAAACACAGAATGAAAACAATGAGGATGATGATGACATGGCAATAATGTGTCTACAATGTGATAGGCAGATCTGTCTTAGACCACACTTCCTATAATTTTTCTCTAAAACACCCTAACAATTAACATGATTAAAATTAGCACTGGTAAATAATAGTATAAACAAGAAGAAAATGAGGACCCATAGAAGAAAGGATAATATTTATAGCACGTTTTATGTTTTTCAAAGCATTTTTACATATATTATGTCATTTGATCTCCACAAACACCTTAAAAACAGAAAAAAAAGAGTATAAAAACTAGTAAACATTGTGTATTAAATGTCTAATCTTTCACTTTTATCCTAAACTCTTAAAACCTTCCATTCTCTTTTTTTTTTTTTTTTTTTTTTTCTTTGCGGTACGCGGGCCTCTCACTGTTGTGGCCTCTCCTGCTGCAGAGCACAGGCTCTGGACGCACAGGCTCAGCGGCCATGGCTCACGGGCCCAGTCGCTCTGCAGCATGTGGGATCCTCCCAGACCGGGGCACAAACCCGTGTCCCCTGCATCGGCAGGCGGACCCTCAACCACTGCGCCACCAGGGAAGCCCAATATCTTCCATTCTTAAGCGGTTTTTTGTTTCTTTTTTTTTCAAGGTATTTTCATTTTAATCAAAAACTAGTTTTACTGTTTTTAAGAGGAAAAATTAAAAACCAAAAATTGTCCATAATCCCACCACCCAAATATCCCTTGTCAATATTTTTTAACTTTTTATTTTAAAATAATTTTAAACTTAACAAAAAATCTGCAAAAATAGTACAGTTTCCATATTTCCTTCACTCAGCTTCTCCTAATTTTAACTGACACAATCATAAGTATTACAATTAGCAAGCCAGGAAATTATCACTGGCTGAAGTGAACCAGAGATCTTATTCAAATCTCACCAGTTTTTCTCCTCATGTCCTTTTTCTGTTCCCGCACCCCACGCTGCATTTAGTTGTTTTGTCTCTTTAGCTTCCAATCAAAGACATTTCTTCAGTTTACACTTGTCTTTCATGATCTTGATACTTTTTCTCAGTACTGGTTAGCTTATTTGGTAGAATGTCCCTCAATTTGAGTTTGTATAATATTTTCTGATTATTAGTTTGAGGTCATACATTTTAGGCATATGACAGAATATCATAAAAGTGAGGCTCTGCCCTTCTCAGGACATTGCATCAAGAGGAACATAATATGAACATGTCTCAGAACTTATAATTACACGGTTAAGGCGATGGCTCTTGAGTTTCTCTCCTGTAAAATTACTATTTCTTCCTTTGTAGTTGACAAACATCTTGGGAGAGATACTTTGAGACTATGGTATTATACTATTTCTCCTCAACGTTTGCCCACTGATTTTAGCGTCCTTCCACAGGTCGTCCTTGCAACAATGACTATCATGGTGTTGCCCGGTGGTGATTTGGTATTTCCCTCATTCCTTCTATATATATTAATTGGAATTCTTCTGTAAAAAAAAAAAGAGCTGTCTCTTCTCCCCATTTATTTGTTCAATTATTTAAATGAGGATGGAGACCTGAATTTTTTTTTATTCTTTAAGTCATAATCCAACATTATTGTTACCTTTTATGTTGCACAAATTGTCCACTTTTGCCATTGGGAGCTCTATTAGGTGGGTTTCTGTTCCCTTTTGACAACACTTCATCTTTTTAATTAATTTTTTTTTATACTTCTTTGCTTTCAGATACTAGAAGATGCTCCAGGCTCATCTTGTATTTCCTTGCTCCAGCCCTAGAATCAGCCATTTCTCCTGCAAGGAGCCTTGATTCCTTTTATCAAAAATGAGACTTAGACACCAAGATCTAGGCACTACACATGCTCATTGCTACTGGAGCATTATTGTTCCTTGGCCTTCTAAAGGTGTTCTGATTCCAACTCCAATTCCCCCATACTACCAAGCAATGCTCTGGCACCAGCTTGGTATCCTACCATTCAACTCAATTCTTACACTATCTTCCCAGAGATAGTGGCAGATCCCACAGGTTAAGGGCTCAGTCCCACAAGGCCACCCCACCCACTCTCTTCGGTCACCAATCACAAGCCTAGGTTATTACCTATGTTTCTGACCAACTGATTGTAGTTCAGAGGTTCCAACAACCCCCTCCTTCGGTTTGATTAATTTTCTAGAGCAGCTCACGGAACTCAGAGAAATATTTTACTTACTAGATCACTAGTTTACTATAAAGGGATATAATTCAGGAACAGCCAGATGGAAAAGATGCATAGGGCAAGGTATGGGGATGCTACATGCCCTCTCCAGGTGCATCACTCTCCCCAAATTCCCACATGTTCACCAACTGGAAGCTCTCTGAACCTTGCCCTTTTGGTTTCTTATGGAGGATCATTACATGGGTATGATTAATTAAATCACTGGCATTGGTAACTGATTCAACCTCCAGCCCCTCTCCCCTCCCCGGAAGTCAGTCATACCCCTCATGGTTGTTTTCCTTGCAACCATCCCCCATCCTTAGGTCACCTCATTAATATAAACCCAGTTATGGTGGAAAGGGGCTTGTCGTGAATAACAAGACACCCATTTCACCTTTATGGCTCAAGCGACTTCAGGAACTGAAAACAAGAGACTAAATATTTATGACAAAAGATGCTCCAATTGCTCTTATCACTCAGAAAATTTCAAGGGTTTTGGGAGGTGAGAGCCAGGAACCCTGGATGAAGACCAAATAATATGAGAAATATATTTTGGTCATCTGAATGGCCAAATACATTTTTCTTATAAATTACAGTGTTGCAATCTCTAAGCAGACAGAGTTGGGAAATATGTGTTGTATACTAACCCATGCATATACGCTCATTTATATTTTTATCAATTTA